GAGCGTATAGTCCAGTCGTGTCAACAGTATGCATATATATCTTATTCAATTTTTCTCTCGCTCCTTTCACCGTTTTCGACTGAAGTGAAATGGATGTCGATTTGTTTTCTCTACGTGTTCTGTATAAAAATGCTGAACAAAAAATTTGTCATGCACGATTGAGCACAACACGACATGCATATCTTTGAGAGAAAAGAGAGAGAGAGAACTTTGTCTCCATCATCATCATTATTATTATCATCATATTAGTCGTTTGATGAAAGCAATGTTAAAAGAGAGAAAAAAAAAGAAACTGCAATGTTGTTTTGATAAGGTGTAGAGGAGAAAAAAAAAAGAGAATGTGCAAAAAAAAACGCGATTAAATACGAATAGTTTATGATAATCAGTCCATTTTGTATTTAATTTGCATGTCCTATTACAAAAAAAAAGAGATTGATTGAATTTTATTGATATGTATTAGAAGAAAAAAAGAGGTACCTTGAGGATTCGAGTGAGTGCAGTTCGATTATCATTTGATAGATTCAAATCAACAGGCAATATTTCATCTTGTCCTTTCATCAATACCGGTACAGAACAAATGATATTCTTATCGGTTTCTGTTTCATCATTTGTTTGTGTTAAACCTAATGCAGAACTCGAACATGACATAACACATGAATATGAATGAGGATTATTGGAACCATTAATCCAATCTAAAAGACAAAAAAAACGATTTTATTAATAAGAATGGATAATATTTACCTTGTATAAATGATAAAATAGCTTTAGCTTGAGTATGAACAAGTGTACGATTTTGTTCAACATATGTATAAAGTTCAAAATCTTGAAAAAAGTATATATTTAATTGGTAATATAAAGAAATAATTTACCTCGATTTTCAACTTCTTTTCCAATAACTTCTTTGATGAATTTCGAATCTGCTAACATTTCTGTTGAATCTCGTAGAAATGTTTTTGCCCAAATAGCACCTTCATAATTAACTGCTTGACAATTATTAGTATCAATAATGTATTCACCATTAATATCTCCAACAATATGTAAATCAACTACATCTATATATGTCAAAAAGATTAAGATTTTAGATAATCTTTTTTTTCAAAAAAACTTTATGTTCATATAAATAGAAAGTTTTAATTATATAAATTTACCAAAACATATATAATTATAAATTTTATATTCAAATAAAAAATCTATTTAAAAATGTCTATAGACATGTCTATTATTATTTCTATTCATCAATCATTTACACTTTATTATAGGGTTGGGTATATCATTGCAATCAGTTAACAATAAATATTATGATTAGTATTGATAATTGAATTAAACTATATATTTCTAAATCTTATTCAGTCAATTTTTTCTCATAAACATCGATGGTATTGAAAAAACATGTCTTGTCCTTTGAGATACGAGTATCTATAGATCTATTTCAATTAAAATGACAAGAGATGATTGTATATGCAATGAAAAAATGGATATCATATATGTCTCTAATTAAATATTAATTTCATCAATTATCATATAACATAAATAGAGTGGCAATGATTACAAGCTGTAATCTTAAATTTGATCATAATTATATGAGGAAAAAAACCTTTTTTTCTGCTTCTTCGAAATACTACTCACCCTCAAGAAAAAATTAAAATCTATAAGTGCAACAAAAAGTTGATTCTACAGACCATGACAAACACCGTAACAATTTTTTTTCTAACACAGACCGTGAAAGATACCTTGATAATGTCCTACTACTATAGACCGTGAAAGACACATTGATGACGCTTCATGATAAACCATGGCAGCGTCTTTATTATAGACCATGACAAACTTAATTAGCTTTAAAGGTGAAATCTATTCGACTAACTTCTATCAATAAAATAAAACTTTTTACTTTTAATATCAATGGAAAGTTTTTTTCCAATTCTTGCTTTTGCTTGATTTTCAATAATTCTTGCTAAACCAATAATTTGATTTGTTGGAATTGTTTTAATTGTTTTAATAAAAGCATGTGTTGCAATCATAATTGAATTTGAACATGCTAAAAGTATTCGACATGTTGATTTCAAATTTACTTGTATTTGATTAGCAAGTGTTTTATAATAATGATATGCTTGTTTTATATCATATTTTATTTTTTCAGGTTTAAATGGTGGTCGTTCATCAGCAAATAAATTTTCTTTATCATAACCTTCATTTAATGTTGCTTTTTCCTTAACTAATGATTCAAAATATTTCTGTTTCTCTTCATTAAAATAATCATCAAGAATTAAAATAAAATCAGTATTTTCATAGGAAAGTTTATCATTATTTTGTAAAGAAATTTCAATTGTACGAAATTGTTTACAAGCAAGATCTTCTATTTCCATAGCTATAGCTTCTAATGATGATATTTTTGTTGGATCATGTGTTGTTAATCGAAGACATATATCACGATTAGGAAATAAATTTGATGAAAGTAAATCAGGAAATAATCCATAGGCACATGGATGATCAGCACCAATAATACATATATGATAAGGATTTACTGTTTGTTTAATATGTTGTGCATTTAATTCAAGATCTCGAATATATTGTTGAGCATTTTCTTCAGCAATTGAACGAAAAAGTGCTGATGTATTCGTCATAAAATGATTAAGAATACTTCCATAATAACAATGAGCATATTCCTGAAAATCATCAAGATCACCAACTAATGCGCCACGACCACCACGATCAATTAATTCACGCCAGATCAGTGGAGATGATTGTCTAGGCGCTTTCCATTGATTTTTTTCACAGGTTGATTTTACCCAGTTATCCCAATCCTAAATACATATTTGAATATTGTCAATGTCCAATTTCACATTGAGAAAAAAACAGATTTTAATGAAATTGAGATAAACGCTAAAACTTAAATTATAATCTCAAACATCTGATATAGTTGTTAGTAGTAGTAAATGCCTTAAAATCAGTGGCGATTTATGAAAAACAAATTGAAAACAGTATTATTTTTTAGGAGAGAAATCTAGCGCTTTATCTATTTTCGAGAGGGTGGCGGTCGTCGAATAGCAAGATCCGCCACTGCTTAAAATTTGCTGCTTTCAATATATATATCTTTTTATTATTGCTTTCTGCAATTTTGCATACTTTTGAGTCAATTGGCCATTTATGAACAACAAAATTGGGTACATTACGTTGAAGATAATCTCCCAGTAATTCAGCTTTGGCATAGAGTGGACAATTAGTTTTTCCTAAAGATTTAAGGAATATTTTAATGAAAATTTTCAATATCAATTGCTAGGCATTACCTGCGATCACGAATTTTGCCATTGCACTGTGATTAAACTGAGCGACTGCCTCCGTTGTCTAACACTGTTTTATACTATATGTTTACCAATAGAATTTGATTTTTTTAAATATTGATCATTTTTCTATAAGAAAAATTTTCGCATAGAATTTCTTTAAAAAAAATACTTTTTCTACATAATTGTTTCCTATTGGTTAATATTTGTACCAATCAAAAATTACATATGTGTTAAACTATTAGATTATTTATTTATTTGCTTTGTTTTTTGATATCAAGATAAATACTTCTTTCGCTTAAATCCAACACATGGCTCCACCAAAATTTGGCGATCTTAATAAACAAGTAACAGATCTATTTAATAAAGGCTATTGTAAGTTTATTTTTATTTAATTGGCTATTTTATATATATATATATATATATTTATTAGACTTCAATACATTTAAACTTGATGTTAAAACTCGTACAGCTAATGGCGTTAATTTTAATGTTGTTGGTGAACATAATACAGAAACAGCAAGAACAGTTGGTAGCCTTGAAACAAAATATGTTGTACCTGAATATGGTTTAACATTTTTGGAAAAATGGAATACAGATAATTTACTTAAATGTGAAATAACAGCTGATGATCAATTAGCTCAAGGTTTTAAAATTACTTTTGATGGAAGTCTTATTCCAACTACAGGGTAAACTTTGATTTATTTATTTTTATTGTTACAAAAAAACGAAAAATCATGTATTTTTTGTTTATTTAAGAAAAAAAACTGCTGATCTTCGTACATCTTATGTACATGATAAAGCACATGTTGAAACAAATATTGGTTTTGATGCTGCTGGTCCAATTCTTAATGGAGCTATTGTTTTAGGACATCAAGGATGGTTAGCTGGTTATCAATATGTTTATAGTACAGCTAAAGGAGCATTAACAAAAAATAATTTTGGTGTTGGATATAAAGCAAAAGATTTTACATTATTTGCTAATTTGTAAGTATTTTTAGACCAAAACTGATTTATTTCAAATCATTTGTTTAGAAATGATGGTAATGAAGTTGGTGGTAGTGTCTATCAACGTCTTAATAATCGTCTTGAAACTGGTGTTCAATTAGCATGGTCAGCAGGTACAAATCAAACACGATTTGCACTTGCTTCAAAATATCAACTTGATTCTCAAACTGCAATTGGTGTTAAAGTAAATAATATTTGTCAAGTTGGTGTTTCATTTCAACAACTTCTTCGTCCAGGTATGTGTACTAATAATTTTTTTGTTTAATATAGAAATAATATTTATAAATTGATTATTTAGGTGCCAAATTAACATTATCAGCTTTATTTGAAGCTCGAAATTTGAATGCTGGCGGACATAAAGTCGGTTTAGGACTTGAACTTGAAGGCTAAACTCCTATATTTTCAAAACAAAAAACGAGACTATATATTTTTTTTCTCTCTATTCCTCGATTTAACATAATGTTTAGAAGACGATTTAAGTTTCTATTTTAGGATATTTTCTGCTTATATATAACGAAAAACATAACTAAACTTGTTCTTTCGTTTTTCTTTTGTTCGTATCATATTTTCTTTTGTCTCGTTTTCATTTTCTAAAAATAATACCGATACCTTGAAATAGAAAAAAAAGTCATTCATGATACTACCTTGATATTGTCTTGTCAAGCTCAAAGAAAGAATGTGTAGTACTGTTATCTTAGAAAAGATTTTGTCAATCATGGTCGTATTCGATGTATTCTTAGTAGATGCACATAAATCTAATTTGAACTTAATTGAAAATTATTATCTATATGATGATAAAAGAGAATTACATACAATATTATTCCTTCAATTTATTAATTAATTATTTTAAATTCTAAAATCAATCAATGGTGAAATACACATTCAATTTTATTTTAATGTTCTAAAACACTACAAAGCAATGACTTTTTGCTACGTATTTTAATTGCAAGAAGGTGACCACTTAATCGGTTTAAAATGTTTTTTTTCGGTGCCCTCACGTTGATCATTTTTGTAGTTGGATTGATTGACTGCAGCTGTTGCTTTTTGTTCTGAAACTTTGCTTGTTGTATTGTTTCTTTTTTCAAAACGAAGATTTGTGCGAGTTGATACTGGTGTATTAACCATTTCACTACTAGCTATCGTCGATACAGTGGTTACTTTTTCAATGTGTGATGGCAAAGACTTTCCTTCGTAGACGAGAGTTATCAGGCGACGAATGTCATCAAAACGACAGACTGTTGGTAAAAAACAAACTGGAAATATGTCAAGAAATGTATCAGATACTTTTTCCGATGACAATTGATCCGAAGAGACAACCCATCGAAAATTGACACTGCGCATTTGTCGAAGACGACGATCGGTTGACTGTTGAAAAGGTGTTCCGATTGAATGTGTATTTGAGTCATCGTAAAGGATAAAAACATCACAGTAATAGGCCGATTGCCGTGCTATTATTTTGTCCAGAAAAGCAGGAATACAATCTAAAATATTGACGCATGGCGACTTGCAGAATTCGATGTTACGAATGTGATTAAAGTTTTCTTCCGTCGCGACTTCGACTGCTGCACATGATATGAGTGGACGATCGTCAAGTTCTTGATCACAAACATATATTTCAACAATGTTAGATGGTTGTGCTGTTGCTTCAGCTGCAGCTAATTTCATCAATTCGATGACAGATATTTTGATATTCTCAGTAATTCGTTCGACGTCTTTCGTCGCATCATCAATAGTAGTGACAGTTAGAATAAATGTACCACGTGTTCGTGGCAGTGAAGGATTATTGGATGTCGTGCTTGTGTTCACAGTTGTTGAATTCGATGACGACATCGACAATAACTTTATGTTGAGATCCTAGAAATAAATTCGCTTCAAATTAAACAAAGAATTTATCGAAATCTCTTCGAAATTGGATAAATATTTCTTACAACCAGAGATACTTTGAACTATGACCATGCAAGTAGCTTTCGTAGTATTGACTAGCAAGAGAAATTCTACTACGTCATAGACAGTGAGTCATCGCAGTACACTGTCGAAAAAAAGTTTAAAGAGAAAATAACAAAAGAATGATGCCACAAAGAAGTGAATAGGTGTGGGTGTAAATAATCAGTCTTTATTTACCCTCACCCACACCCTCAAGATAGTCTGATTGGATCTTTTCACATCGTCGCTGCAAATCTTCGAAACCGTCTTGTTGATATATCCATTAAAGACGGGGATGAATTTCCATCAATGAATATGATTGATTAGAAACTTAGTCTAGGAGTGCCTCTTGACTAGTGGTGTCTACCGTACTGTATAAAATAAGTACTACCTTTTTTCTGTTTTGTGCATATTTTTGGTTCTCTTCCTCGCCATTAAATATACCACGCACATACATGATTGAAAAGTTTACAATTAAACATGCCCTTTTCATCATTGTTTTTTCGTCAATATTGACGTCATTAATCGATAAGGAATACAATGGAATAGTGATATGATGTTGAATTTGCTCTTAATACTTGTTCCTACATCGAAAGTGCACTAAACGTGAAAAATAACTATTAGAAATTGTTTTCGTTTTATAACATCTTCCTCGTATCGTAACGTCAGTCTGGACCGAAAAATTATTTCTCGGTAAACTATTTACACAAACAAACCGAAATGATAAAAAAGACAAAAATTTCTCGATTGCTTTGTTTTCTTTATACATCAATGCAAAAGAACATTGGATTATCCTCATAGACGTGAGAGTCAGTACCATAGATATAAGACACCCACACCCACCCAAAATTAAACGAAAATATTTCTTTCTTTTAGGACAAGTACATTATAGTTTTGAAACGGAATTCTATGAACATATTATGTTTTCATTTAATGCTGAACATTTTTATTTCTTACATGATCTTATTTCATCATATATGAAAGAAAAAGAAAAAGGTAATTAAAAAGTAAATTCTATTTTATTAAATTTTCCTTTTTTGTATATTTCAATAGCAACAGCACATGACAAGCCTCGCTCACGAGCAACAGCAGCAGGATCACATCCACCACCACTACCGTCAACAGCAACTACAAATGATAACCCAACATTAACGTCATTTGATGAAGTAAGAAGTGATGATATACGTTGTTATCATTGTCCTGATGCAAAATGGAAATTACAACCAACTATAAAACT